TAGCCTTACCCAGGTTTCCTACTCGTCCCGTACGTCCAATACGGTGGACGTACTCCTCTATGTCGCTTGGCAGGTCAAAGTTAATAACATGTTTCACGTTGGAGATGTCCAAACCCCGAGCTGCTACCTGAGATCACAAAAACAGGAGCAGATACTTTAAAAACTCACACCTTCAGTTTTATGTCGATTGTGGTTGTCAGTTAACAGAAAGGTTCCTCTTGTGGTTCACCGTAACGTGCACCCAACAGGATGTTTTTACTGACCGCTGTAGCCACCAGGATGGGACATTTTCCTGATCTGAACTGGTTCAGGGCCTCCTCTCGATCTCTCTGGGAACGATCACCATGGATACTGGTGCAGGCGTAGCCTTCCCGATATAGGAAGTCCTCCAAGGCGTCTGCACCTTTCTTGGTCTCCACAAAAACCAGGGTCAATGAGTCCTTACCTGGTCAACCAAGAGGGGGAAACACTGGGTGTTAATGCTACAAAGAATAAAACAACTGTAGGGCTGCACTGTGTTTGAACTAAATAAAAGACTGAGTTTAATAATCCTGCGCCACTATGACTCTGGCTTTATGTAGCAGACATACTGGACCAAATTGTGGAACAAACAAATAATGAAGTTACAGTCATGCTGGAATTATATAGAATTTAAGTGCACGAGCAATTATGAGAACCAAGCACATAAATTAAAATCCATCCCTGATGGCCTAGCCTGCTAAACTGACCTTTAAGCTTCTCAGTCCACTACATGAGATTGATTTGCCTTCTAGCCAATGGGATCAGTTAGCATCTAAATGAATCATACAATTTTACGTGTGAACGGTTTTCTGCTGCCATGCACACATAAATCAACGCCCTTGATTGTATATGAAATCCTCCATAGCACATCAGTTAGTGGGTTTGTTGCAGCAGCCCTGTATACAGATCATATGTTTACATGTATATACGTGTGTCAGTCCATGGGGTGACTAACATGCAGGTTTCAGGGTTAAATCTACCAGCATTACTTTACAGCAGATGTTGTTATATGAGCAGAACAGTGCAACAGGCAGCAGGAGGTGCAGTGTGGGTAAAATGACCAGCAGCAATGTGTTTTCATGCAGATTTCACTAGAGGCACTGATGGAAAGATTCTGGTCACTGTATTCTTCCCGCATCAACATCATCAATTGACCTACACTTATATCAAAAGTTAGATACACGGCAACACACGAACACAACATGACCAGACTCTCTCCATTAAAGCTATGGGTTTGACCTAAAGACATCACAGCAACATACTTTAAAGATGACAAAAACAACCTTAAGCTATAAAATCAAACAACAGGCATGTTTAATTTCACATGAGAGGACCCGACGTGTGAAATGGGACACAGAACCTAAGTAAACATAATAAACAGGAGATTCTCCATCCACGAAAAAAAAGAACAGAACAGTAAAGTCGAGCAAAATTATTTAAAATATGAAATGACAGATAAAAGTTTCCTGTTTGAGGATCTTACCAGGTTTCTCTATGTTGTCTCCAGTACTGTCCTGTACCTCACTTGGGATGGCTTGGGATAAAACCACAAACCACTGACATGTAAACTCCAGTTTGAAAGCAATGCTTGTGTGTCTGATATTGCTGATTTAACAGAGGTTTAAAATGTTGCCATATAATCACTAACAAAACAATAAGGTTGTTTTCCCAGCCACAAACAATTAAAAATCCTCTTTCTTTTTTTTTTTAAAGTTCAGTCTGAAGAAGAAGATATTTTGTAATAAAAATAGACCACTGCCATCTGGAGGCAAATATAATCCAGGAAACACAATGTTTCTTGCCAACTACCACAAATATAGAAAGAGCATCTTTTAAATTAGAGGTTTTAAACCTTTTTCAGGGCAGCCTAGAGGTATACATCTTCCTAATTTCACACACAAACATATCTAAGTGAAATTTTCACTGAAAGACAAAGGGTGCTGATGGACATTACACTGTGCTAAGCATGGGAAACACAGTAATGTATTGGTTGAGATGTGAGGATGACAATATGATGATGACCATAAGACAGGGGAAATAAAATCGCACTGTGTGTGTGTGGCTCGAGATAATTGCAGATAAGTCTACTCAGGCTGCAATCAGTATTTATGTTATGTGTTGGGACATGTGGCAGTTGAGCTGAGATCGGCTCACCTGTAGCGCTTAGCAGGTCCAAGAGGAAAGACCGCTTATCGCTCTCTTCCACCCACACCACTTTCTGCGTGATGTTCTCCGAGGTGGAACCCACTCTGCCCACCGCCAGGAAGATGTAATCCTCCAGGAAATCCCGAGCTAAGATCTGCAGGATGAGCAAAATATGTGCTTAACACAACTGTTTTGCACCGTCTGACTAAACAGATGGAAAATTTTACATCTTTAAAATGAAGCACTGATCACCATGTGAATGCTTGCTGCACTTTTCTTTATTAGTAACGGGCGGATTAAAACAAAAAACAAACAAAAGAAAAAAGAAGAAGAAGAAGAAGAAGAGGAAAAAGAAGAAGAATTCCAATTTCTATCACAATTACTGCAGATAATGAAGATATACCTGGATTTCTTTGGGAAACGTAGCGCTGAACATCATAGTTTGTCGGATGCCTTTAGGAGGCATGGTGTCCTGTTCGACGATGCGCCGTATCTGTGGTTCAAAGCCCATGTCCAGCATACGGTCAGCCTCATCTAGGACCAGGTAGCTAAAGGAGACAGAAGAAAAGAGTTTGAAATTTGGAAAAAATGAAACAGACATTTACCCATCACTCACTCCTCGCGTTTAGGTCTTACTTGCAGTAGTCCAGTCCGATCTTGCCTCTCTCCATCATGTCCACGAGTCTTCCTGGAGTGGCCACCAGCAGGTGACAGCCTCTCTCCAGGTCTCTGATCTGCTGGCCAATGTCTGCTCCTCCATACACAACACAGGGACGCACTCTGGAGCGGTAGGAAAACTAACAGGAAAATACAACGTATTAACAATTACACACAAATCTAAAAATCACATCACTAAATAAAATTATTACACACCAATGTGTTTAAATACCTTCCTTGCTTCATCATATATCTGCAGTGCCAGTTCTCTGGTGGGAGCCAGCACCAGGGAGATGGGGTACTGCTTGCGACGGCCATACTTTCCATTCTCCTGCAAAGCAGCAATGACACAACATTTAAGTCTCACAGCAACAAACGTGATTGAGAACAGAACATGTGGAAACCTATCAGGGACTAGTCTGACTCCTGAGAGCAAAAATCCCCTAAAGGCTTCACAATGTAAATTAGGGGAGAACTCGTGTAACAGGAATTACCCGACAATTATCAGAGACGTGGCACTCAAATAATTCCCGATTTAAAGTTCATGGAATAATTCAACAACAGTGAAGTTAGCAGAATAAAAACTTCCAGAGGAAAGAAAGACAAGCTTTAAAATCAGACTTACCTGCTGATAATTTTCTTTCTCAATAACAGCTTAAATTAAATTAGACAAAATAACTCCCTAAATAGGTGCCAGGTGTCATATCGAGATGGCTGCTGACAGGTAGGACTTGTGTCTTAAAGGGTTTTGTGCTTTTCTTTAACTGCTGCTTGTTTTGCCTCTTCTTTGATGGTCTAGTATACTACTGGTATCAAAAAAGATCAACTTAAGCAGGTCTGCTTGTTTGTTGCAGTGACTGAAACTCGTGCTCACCGTTTGTGGTAGCATATGAACAATACCCATTCATTTGTAGAACTGTGCACGTGCCTGAAATTAATGCTTTTATTTTTAATCTGGAGGATATGCTTTAATTAAATTACTTTACCATGAAATCCCCCTCAGCACCTGAACCATTTGTTTTGCCCCTTTCAAAGCCATGATGAAATTAGCTGTTTTTAACTAGATAATATTGATTTTTCTCTTTTACCTGTCCTGATGCTTTAGCTGCGTTAAGGGCCTCTCCTGGTCCATCAGTGTAGATCTGGCTGAGGACTGGCAAGAGGAATGCTGCCGTTTTCCCAGAGCCTGAAACACACAAGGACAGCCTCATCCATTTCTGCTGTTCCTCTCATCGACCCAATTCCAATATTTTGTTATGTTTGTGCACTACCTGTCTGTGCGCAGGCCATGAGGTCTCTCTTCGATTTAATAATAGGAATGGCGTATTTCTGGACAGGAGTGGGTCTGGTGTAGCGACTCAGAGCAATGTTACCCATGATAATCTCACCCATGTCCACGTCTTGGAACTGAGATCACAAACAGAAACATGTACAGAAAGAGCAAAGAAAAGCAACAGTGCAACTGGTATCTGATACAATGTGAGTAACTCACACTCTCGATGTGCTGAGGGCAGTTCTGTCCCGTGGCCTCAACAGGAATGTCATCGTATTTCTCAAAGTTAATCCCAGTGTTACTGCCAGAGAACAATTCACTACAGAGAGAGCAGCAAAGGTTAGTCGAACGCTCTGGAACTTTATTGCTCAGAGTAACTGCAGCAATTTCTTGGGATAATTTATCTGAATGACGAATTTTAAAAGAATAAAAACCTAGCATTATTTTTACTGGGGCTGGTCAGACATTTGAATTTATCATGTGTCAGGTAAGGGAAATGCTGCAGAACCATAACAGACAAAGTTAAAGATGCTTCCATATTGACATCAGACTAGAAACTTGCAAATAAGTTAAGAACGAATGTCGTTAAGATGACAACTGGAAATAACAAAACGTCAAAGAATTTGCTTTCACCTTCCTGTGTTTTACTCTGTTACACAAGAACCAATGAAATCCCAACAATATGACTCACAGTCTAATAGTGAAATTACACTAGTCTAATAATCTAATTCTGTGGACTAATTTTTTACTTTTGCAAAGTTCACCTGAAAGTTCCTGATCTTACAATAAATTAGAAAGTAGACTACACCTCCCACAGCGGCTCAAAAGCACAGACTCACTGTTCAAGGCGTTCGTTGCGAGGGGTTGGTTTGGACCAGTCTCCGTCATCTCTGGATTCCTCCACCCAGCGGCTGTTTCCTCCTCCTCCTCCTCCTCCATTACCAAATCCTCCATGCTCAAACCTGAACACAGCACACACACACATTAATGATGAATAATGAGGAAACTTTCTCCAAATTATAGAACCACAGCTCTCCACTTAACATTTTTTGGGTAATAATAAACCATTTAAAGAGTTCACAAGAGGGTCGTTTTTTAGCTTTTATAGTAAACATGGGAATTTTCTGTTGACGCTGAACATAAGCTCTCAACACTGTATGTGATCCACTCACCTTCCTCGGCTAGCGTTGCCTCTGTCATTGAAGAAAGCAGACTTTCCACGGTTATTGCCAAAACTGCTATAGGCGTCCTTGGCAGTGTTCCAGCCACCTGCGTCTAAAAGGAGAACACCACAAAACCATCAGGTTTCGACAGCTAGCAGACGCATCCAGTCATTCATGTAGTGGAGAGGCAGGTAAATGAGCACATACTGGATGCACGAGCTAAGTAAAAGAAATGTTGGAAGCACTAAAACTGAATCGCACCTTTATTTTCATACCCAGCAAAGCCCATTGGCTGTGCTGGGTTAATGGGGTTGAAGGCTCCACCCCTGTTGTTGCGGTAACCACCTCCAACGCCACCTCTTCCCCGCTCCATGCGAGGCGGGCCACGGTTAAATGAGTTGCCCGTCATGCGATTGTCGTGGTAGCCGTTGACAAAGTTGTTGCGCGTGCCGTCCCAGCCGTCTGCAGAGAGGAAACAGTGCACAAAATAATTAATAAATACCATCACACCTGCAGGAACATCGTCTTCATGACCATCACTGCTGTTATTGGTGGAGCGCTGGCAATACATGCTATATGGGCAAAAGTATTTGGCTACACCTCTTACATCTTTTAAATTCAAGTGTTTTCAGTCCCATTGTCACGGGTGTAGAACTCGTAAAGTCGCCAACGCTTTGCTGACTCAGCAAACCTCCTCTAGCATTAACATCAGCACAAAAACTGCGCTGGGAGCGTCATGGTATGATCAACAGCTTCTGTAGGTGTAATGTGTGGGTGGCCCAGTATTTTGTCCATATAGTGTTGTTTCAGCATACCAATAAAACACCAGCGATTATATTTTAGCCCTTTTGACATCTATCAAATTAATTTTTAATGAAAAATGTACTTTTGTGAAAAGGTAGGAAATTAGATGCATCAGGTCAAAATGATTAAACAAACCAACTCAAAGAAGCACTTTCAGATGCTTCTGCTGCTGCTTCCGATATGCAGCCGCACTTAAATGTTAAGGCATTCACTATGAACTCATCAATAAGTCAATTTACAAAACACAAAAACAACTCTAAAATCAATATAAAAAAAAAAGACCAATTCCCCAACTTCTGCACAACTCTATCCAAGAAAATCAGAAGTTCAGAGAGGAACTTACAGTTGGCTGCAGGCGCGATGGTGTAACCACCCTGTCGCCCAGCAGCAAAGGCATTTCCTGCTGGATTAGGAGATGAAATTCCAGTTGTAACTCATGGTTAAAAACAGATGCTGATATAATAGAGATACTTTGTAGAGTTACAAGTGTGGGGTCTTTTAGAATACTATGTCTTCCTCACTATTCCAAAAATCAACCATACGTGGTAGTAACGTTTAAAAAAAACAGCACAGATAAAGGAGACCGACTGCTAATCATAGAGAAATAAAGATGGACAGAGCTGAAAATTGTGTCTGAAAAGCAAAACCAGACCTGAAGTGCTTTAAACTTGCACTCTTTTTATTTGCCATATAGGGAAAACCTGACATCAGCTCCCACTCTGTGACCTCACTAAAACATTCCCTGCTTCAGGTCACAATCAACACAACTTAAAGGCCATTTTGTAAATTTTATTTGTTTCAAGAGTCACAAAGGAGCATTATCCAGGGTACGCTCGTTGCTACTTGGCAATCACAAATCATTAGCCAATGAGAGTGCACTTTCGCAGTTCGACCTGCCCTTCGCACATCACATCAAATATCACAATGTCGATGGATTTCACTAATCAATCAGTGAAAACACGGAAATTCAGCTATGAAAGCTGAAAATGAAAATGATTTATTTGGTAGGAATCAGCGATGGGAGTTCCCAGTGGCCTAAAAATAAACACAATTCAGATTTTTCTTTATAGGAAACAAGGTTAAGTGGATCCTACTCACCATTTTTGGGAGCATCTTTGTTCCTTAAATGTGGAGGTATGTATCGCCCTGCAAAAGAGACAGACAGCCAAGAATCAGTCAGCGCTTACGTCACACTGCATTTATAATCAAATCTAACTAACCATTTCAAGGTTGACCCACAAATTATGACTGCAATGACAAAAGATTATTAAACTATAATGTAAAGAAAAACTTAAAGGTGACATGCAAATATTCATTTTCACATGGTTGCAACTAAATGTCACTGTATTAAAAACAGATGTTCTGCACTTAAATAAAAATAGATCATGTAACTGAAAAGTCACCGTGTTTAATGAATAATAAAAGATTTAAAGACAAAATTTCTTCAAAACCTTTGCATCATCCAAAGACATGCATATTTTAAGTTAACAGAAACATCTGCTTTCAGTATCACCACACAGCACCAGGGATGCATTTACACTGTACCACATGCAGACATACAGCAGTCACTTTTTTTTTTTTAAAACCTGTTTGTTTTTATCATGACAAAATGAAAAATTCTAACAAAAACACAAAGGCTGCTTACTGCTATTGCCGCCACCTTGTCCGTCTGCAGCGCTCAAGTCTAGGACAGCGAGCTAGAGGGGGGAAAAAAACAAAACACAAAAACAGAAAACGACTCACTGACCCACTTCAAGCAACCTAAAACTTTAAGTTACATTTTAACAAAATGAATTATCAAAGCTATTACTGCCCATTTCTTACATTAACTGGTCGCATTACAAGTTGATTTTTCTCCATCATAGACACAAACACAGAGTAGCATTTCTGTAGTAATCTCCCTATTGGTTCTCAGTTGTCTAGGTTTTCAGTAGCTAATGCTACAAGACAGCTCAGTGTCACTGGTATATGTATCCACCATCACCAACCCCAAGTCAATATTTTTCCTCTCGAATACCGTTCGTTCCCCTGTTTCTTTCTGTAGTTTTCCATTACACCCAAGCAACATTTAGTCCCATAAATTAAGAATGCCTGTAAAACCAAATAAGTGGAAACTAGTCTTTAGATTGTTAGGCAGGCTGTGTTTGAGGCCACAGACCACTTATCCTTAAGAGTAGGTGACACAGAGAGCTGCTGCCTACCTTTTAAAAAAAACGTTTTTGTATAATAAGGAGTGTGAAAAATTTTCTTGCATGGACTGGTTTGAGTACTCAGATTTGACATGAAAAAAGAAAACTAGAAGTCATTTTTATTTTTGTATTCTGCAGCAGACTTAAAAAACAAACAAAAAAAAAGAGCGAGGGAAAGGCAGACAGAGATGTGAGCTCCAGCGTGCTGAATTCCTATCATGATGATGTCAGCAAACTGCACCCAGCCACAGCTGGTCTGGGATACTGAGATGCGATGCTGGTGCGTCAAATCTCACTGCTGTCCAGGGAACAACTTTGTATTTAATGCTTTCATTACCAAAAATCTAACTGTGTTGGGGGGTGGCGGCGGTGACATTCAGCTTAAGCCAACTAAACTCATGAGGATGTATAAGTCGCTGAAATAGGGGCCTAGGTTGCGCATCACACTCCTTCTTAGACATTTTTCCCCAATAGGGGCTCTCCAAAATATCAACCGAGTACATGCAGTACTTTTCTGTTACCATCCAGCCAGACACAGATAGACTACGTTGCTGGTGACGCAGAAGAAATGACCATCTCTTAGCGGGACGCAGTCAACATAAAAACATGGAAGTCTGGAAAATGCTGCGTATCATCTAAAAGCCGGGGAGGGCGACAGTCACGCCGCATTGTTTGTGTAGCAAGCAGACCCGCAGGTTCCAGCCACATTGACCTCCATTTTATTATTATATCGAGCTGCAAGACAAGCGCAGTGGACGTAACAGTTGAGGGGTGCGTTTCATGTGTTCATATGAGGGGGCCAGAGGAACCACTCGTGCGTCATTTCGCATTTAGCTCTTCGTTTTAAAGAACACCGATCAGTCTAGCAGCAAAACACGGATGTTTTATTTCTAGAATGCAATTCAATAAAGGCATTCTTGGTCAGGTTGTAGAGGGGCCAAAACATTTTCATGTCGTATGCTCCGCAGCCACCGTCAGACGTGTGCGCGAACAAAAGCAGCGCACCCGACGTTAAGCTAGCACAATAGCATACTGTTAGCAGACCCAGGCTAGCCGGCAAGCTAATGTTTACCACTGCCGTTTTTTTACATTACTTCTAAAGCGAACATTTAAGACATATAAAAGAAACACAGCTTACCTGCTGTTCTAGACCGTGGGCATTTTCGACGGCCACATGACTCATAACTATAGAATATGGAGGAAAAATGATGCCGTTGAAAAGGGGACCTCTTTGTTTGCCGGGTTTTGATGTTGTTATTATTTCTCCTTTGCGTCTCGCCCGTTTCTGTGGTTATGTAAAATGACAGCTATTTCATTTCCTTAATGGTTTCAGATAACTTTTTAAAACGATATTACTGAATTTCAAGTGGCAATAAAGTCCCGTATTTTCAGCTTCAAGGTTGATACTTCAAGCAAACACAGCTGTTGTCTGTTTGCTCTTTAGCTGAAGCTGAGACGAAGCCCCCACGAAGTGCGTGAAGGGAACGCGAACAATGTGAACGCAATTATCCGGTGACGCCAAAATAAAAGCTTAAAAAACAAATTAGATATAATTTTATATCTATATCAAATTTTAGGCCATAATAATAATAATAATAATAATAACAATAATAACGTATACTATCATAATATTAATGTTTTGTGTTCTTAAACTTGTTCTTAAACTTAAGAAAGACGATAAGAGGCTTACATCCCCTTAATTTGAAATGTCCCTATTTCCGGACTGCTAGTAATACTAGCAAACTTGGCAGACGCCTCTCGAATGTTATTAATCTAGAAATCGCGAGATTTTAGTAGTAGGTTGTCGCGATATCGCCGTTACACAAATATTCTAGCGGAGAATTAAGTGGATTTTCAGTTGCTTTTTTCCACTTGCTTTCAAAATCTTGGCACTCACATAAAACAAATATGATAATGCTTTTATCACACATCTTGCATTAGGTTGTGTCACACAATGTTTAAATTGCAATTTGTAATGTGGTCTGAGGCATTTGTGCAAGTTTCCCGACTGAAAAGCAATCAAGTCTGACAGAGGTCAGAGTGTACAATGCGCACATAATATAAAATACATATATATATA